GGCTCCCTTGCAGAACCACATGGTTCTGTCCCTCAATTCCTTAAGGTCTCTGCTCAAATGTTACTTTATTAGTGACATTTGGCCACTTTTTCTGGCCACCTTATTTAAAACAGCAAACTACCCCTTCCATACCCCAACACTTCCTGTCCTTCTGGTCTACTATATTTTTCTTCATAGCACCTTCCACTAGTTATCATTTTGTATATTGATTTGTTTGTTTTCTGCATCACACAAAAATACACGTATGCTAGAATATGAGCTCTGTGAAGTCAAGCATATTGTTTGTTTTGTGCACTGTCATGCTGCCAGTTTCAAAAACACTTGCTGGCACATAGTAATTACCCTAAATAGCAATTTGAATGAATAATTCAAATTAAAGTGAAATATCATTACAAGTGAAAACACATGCCTATAAGAATAAATCAATGATGATAATAGCTATGCTGAACTGTTGGGTTATAGGGTAATTTTTTAATTCTCTTTTCTGAATTTATTTTAAGGCAGTTGCATTATTTCTGTACATTAAAAAAAATCACTATTATCTGTACATTATAATTGGGCATCCTAATGCTAAGTCAAATGTTTCCTTAAAAGGTCTTTCAAATCCGCTTAATAGATCTTACTCAAAATGATGCAAATGCACAATGAGCAGATATATCTTAATCCCAGGAAATTTTAGTGGCCTTCTGATTGCAATTCCCCATAAATGGACCACATTTCTCAAATAAACTTTTTATTTTAGAGCCCGTTTAGATGTACAGAAACATTGCAAAGATAGCAGAGTTCCGATATAACCCACACCCAGTTTCCAGTTAAGAACATTTTACATTCACGTGCCACATTGATTAAAACCAAGGAGCTGATACTGATACCTGATTATTCACTAAAGTCAATGCTCTCTTTAGATTCCCGTAGTTTTTACCCAGCGTCCTTTTCGGTGGTTGTTCCAGGACCCATCCAGGGTGTCACCGCACTGAACTGTCCTGCCTCCTCAGGCTCCTCCTGGCCATAACAGTTTCACCGACTTTCCCGGTTTTCAATGACCTAGAAAGTTTTTGAGGGATATTTTGTAGAATGTCCTTCTTCTGGGATTCGTCAGATCTGTTTCCTATAACAGGACTGGGTTTATGGGGTCTGGGGGGACCATCACAGAGAGTGCCATTCTCAACACACCGCATCAAGGGGAAGTGCCATCAACTGGTCACTACTGCTGTCACCTTTGATCAGCTGGCCAAGGGAGCCTTTGCTCTGAGTTATTTTTATTTAGCAATAAAGAAATAATTTCTCTAGAACAAGCAATTTGCTTGGGTAGGTTTTATTATTTTGGCAACATTTTTTAAGACACTTACCACGTCCCAGGCACTGTTGGAAGCTTAGTATATGTCAACTCGTTTTAACTGCACAGCAACCTTGCGAAATAGGTAACACTCTCCCATTTTACAAAAGAGAAAACCGAGGCACAACGAGGCTAAGGACCTTGTCTGGCACTGGGTAGCTAGTCAGTGGCACAGGCCATCTGGAAGCAGAGCGCTCGTTCTGAACCGCTGGCTCATACACTAGGAGAGAGAATTTATCTCCATAAATGGAGCACATTAATTCTCTTAAAGTTTTTATCTTTGCAGTATATAGCAGTGAGATCTAGCTCCTAAGTAACCTCTTAATGGATATGCCTCCCTCTGGATAGCCAATTCCAACTCCAGCCAACCCAGCGCTCTGAAGCTCCATCCACTGCGGGCACTCTCATTGTGCAAGGAGGTGGAACGCTCGGGTCCTCTGCAGAATGGGTCCTCCGTTCCACAGAATGGAGCCCAGCCCGGCTAGCACGGCCTTCCAGGCCTCCCTGGGCAGCGTCCTGCACGCTGCGTGCTCTCTCTGAAGCGGGTCACCCACCATGCCCAACACACCTGCTCTCCCTGCTGCTGCTGCTGCTGCTGCCCCTGAGTGTCTTTCTCTCTGTACGTTTCCTTAAACTCACTGACCGTGAGTCTGCAGAAACTTCCTGCAGCGGAAATAACTTCCCTCTCCTCTTTCTTCCCACCCGACCTGGTCCCTAGACCACAAACTTGCCTCATTCTGCCTCCAAGTTTTGTACACGTATTTAATATCCTCTCTTAAACTCCTGGTTTCTGGAGGCCCGCATAACTTACCTGGCAGCAGTAATGCCTTCCGGAAGAGGACCTCAATAAATGTCAAACTGAATCAGGCCAGATCAGATTTTAAAACGTCAACTGTTTGATGGACTCCTTTACTTTTTGCTTCTGAGTGGCATGATCTGCCTATACATCTGGTCTCCCAATACTACCAATGAGATTTCACTTCACCCTCATGTTTCATCCAGGGCTTTATTGCAGCTGACAGACCAGTAATGATCTGCCAGAGGGTTAGATTCATAGGCCTGGCCTCCTCCTGGTCTTTCTGACTGAGGGGCTCCCTGTATCTCTATCTTTGAAATAATGGAAGAGCCGGACCACTCTGTTCCTGATGGCTGTGTCACCTTGGGCTGGTTACACAAACCCTCTGGGCCTCTCTCACAGGGTGTTTGTGGATATTATTAAGATCAGTAATAGAAACTGCTGACATAAATAGCAATGAGTGTTAACAGGGGTCAGGACTCTGAATGTGTTATGTACACAACTTGTTCAATCCTCATAACAGACTTACATGGTAACTGCCCATCCCCATTTTACAGTTTGGTAAACGGAGGCATGGGGAAGTTGAGCAGCACATCTAATGCTACGCAGAGGGTGAGGAGCAGACCTAGCATTTGGACTCAGGACTGTCAATTCTAAAATTAAAACATTGTCTCTTTAGATGGTAAATAGGATGTAGACAACAGATGACCCAAGGCCTTTGCTGTCTCCCATTTACTTGGGTTCTGAAAAAGGAAACAAATGCAGCAAATACTCAGTGTCTAATATATTTAAGGCCTGAGCTGGATTCTTGCAATGTCAACACAAATCGTGATGTGAATACTGAGTTCTCTGTGACTTCAGATCTCTTTCAGCTCATTTTCCACCACAGTGCAAACCTAGTTCCTACATGAGCGACCATGCGTCACTACTTGCTGCTGCAAGGGACACTGAGTACTGGGCCTTCTGGTCCATTAGGGTGGATGCCTGGGTCACGCAAGCTCATGTTCTTCGCTGCACTGACGGGAACCCCACGTGACACCTTTATGAGTCCAGAAATGAGTGACTGGTCCTAGGATATAAATAGAGAGTAAATCCCAGCCTCGTTGACCAAATTCTAGCAGTCACAAATTCTTTTTAGTCACAAACAGATCTGTAACTTGGGGGTAGCCCTGTGATCCTCAGCCAGGGGTGATTTTTGTCCCCAGAAGACACTTTTGGTTGTCCCCAGTGGGGAGGGCTGCTGCTCCCATCAAGTGGGCAGAGGCCAGAGACAATGCACAGAACAGCACCTACGACAAAGTATTATCCAGCTCAAAATGTCAATAGTAGCCCTGGCTGGCGTAGCTCAGTAGATTGAGCGCAGGCTGTGAACCAAAGCATCGCAGGTTCGATTCCCAGTCAGGGCACATGCCTGGGTTGCAGGCCACAACCCCCAGCAACCGCACATGGATGTTTCTCTCTCTCTCTCTTTCTCCCTCCCTTCCCTCTCTAAATATAAATAAATAAAATCTTTTAAAAAATGTCAATAGTGCTGAGGTTGACAGACCCTGGCATAGCCCCACGTTCGATTCTTTCATTCAATGGTGAGAACAAATGGTGAGAGCAAAACTTGAAAATCTTACGTTCGCCCAAATGCGCACCACACGCAAACATGGAGGCCTTTGGAACTCGTTCTCCGTCCCCTTCAGCATCAAGGTCACACCTGTCCTAGGAAATGCGTGGATGTGCAGGACCAACACTTAAATGCACACTAGCCTCTCCTGTTTCAAGTTTCTCTTCTCTCCAAGCCCTGTTTAAATTTTTTCCGACATCAGCTACGTCTCTTCTCAGCAAAGAGTTAATCAAAACTTAAGGAAGAAGAACCCAGATTAAAACGATGCACAAAATGCATCATTCTTGGCTCTTCACAGTCAAGGAGGGAAAGAGGACAGGCGCCCAACTTCCTCCACTATAGGTGGGTTTGTGTATAATGTTTCAAGGCCAGACGAGGGCCTTCTTCTGATTCTCCATCACCCTACCTTCTGGTAGTGATGGCCCCTGTCAGGAAATGATATACTTTAAGAAAAAAATTAAAAAGGGTTCCCTTAAATTATAACATTTGAGACTAGGAAATACAAAGAAAATGGTTGTTAATGAGCTTCGTCTAAAGTCTTCCGGTCTATCACATTTGCAACTCGCAGAGAATACAAAACAAAGTAACAGAAATGTAATAGTTATTTCTGACCATTCCTCCCCTGGCCTGTGCATTGGTAGTTTCTTCTCTCCTTTCCTTTCCTTCTGCTTGTTCCACATTCAGTCTTCCTTTCCACAGGTGCTCCCTGGGGCATCCTGCTGGCTTCTGCAGAGAATCCAGAGAAAGTGAGAACGTTCCCATCTGCTGGGACCCCAGAGCTCCACCCTCCTCCCCGTTCTTGCTGGGAAGAGGGTGTCTCTTTCCATAGGGTCAGATCCAACCTGGAGAGGGGAACTTTCTGATTAGGAATATGTGAATAGCACCCAATAGAGGTTCCCCAAAACCCACCACTCCTATATTCTACTCAGTGTTCTTTCCAGAAGTGCTGCTTTTTTTTTTTTTTTTGCTAACCTGCTTAGATGAGCCTCTGCTGGTTTTTAATAAAAGCAGGAAGATCCGTCCCATGTTACGAAAGCGGTTTTCAGCTCTCTGCATTTGCGTGTTAAACCCTGAAGTGAAGAAGCGGCGAGGGTGAGAGTTGTCAGGGGCTAGGATTAGGGTGGACGCTGAAATTCTGTGCGCCTGTTGGACAATAATATTTCCCCCTGTCGGCCTCTGTAGCCGCCTGTGCACCAACCAAAGAGCTACCTCCATCCCCCGCGGTCAGCGTCAGGACATTGCAAGACCAGGCTGAGTCTGCCTGCGTCTTCGTGCCTCCCCGAGTCTCGGGCAGCAGTATTTCCGGAGGCGAAAAGGTGCTGTTCAGCTCCACAATTTCCTCCCAATGGTGAAAAGGAAAGTACAAGCCCTCCGCCTCCACCCTGAGAAGGCTTCAGGGTGGCCTGGGCTTCGCTAATAAAAGCGGAAAGTGTAAATGGCTTGGTGATTACTGGCTTTCGCCCTTGGACGGAGAAATGAGATCACGATTTTCACGGACAGGAACCGCCGCCGCCGCCGCCGCCGCCGCGGAGGCCGCTGCGTCCCCTCCCAGCGCGGGTCGCGCATTACATCACCGGTGAGCTCTGGCTTGTTGGGGGGAGAGGAGGCTTCGCCAGGGACTCAGCCCCAGACCCAGAAGGATACTCAGGGAATGACAAGGATAAAGCGGAAGGGGGCGAGGGAGAGGTAGAAGGGAAAAGCAAGACCAGGCTTCCCCCAGCTGTCCCGAGAGTGGCTTCGAGGGGCGGGGGTGCTGCAAGGGCGCCACATCTCCAAGTGGCCGCACCCCAAATCTGCTTCCCGCACCGTGCCACCCCCGTCCCCAGGAGCCCTCAACTCCCAATTCCAACAGCAAAAAACAAAACCCAAAGCTGCCGGCAGAGCTGCCTTGAGAGGACCCAGGGGGACGGCACAGAAGCTCCCGAGGCTGGAGGACTCCAGGCGCCCGCATCTGGTGGGAGTGAGCCAAGCGGTCGCCGGTGCGCACCCGCCGGGCTCAGCCAGCGGTGCCTCCCCCGCCAGGATACAGCAGCCGGAGGGGGGAAGCGGAAGCGCCTCCTCCCCGCCCCGAGCCCGACCGGCGGCGGAGGGGGAGGAAGGCGCCTCACCTTGCCCCCGATGAAGGGCGGATCATGCCATGGCAGCGCCGGCGAGCGACAGCGGCAGTGGCGGCGGCGGCGGCGAGCAAAGCCCAACCAGCAGCCCCGGGAGCTCGACAGGAGCCGGGGGCTCTGCGGCAGGAGCCCGGGACAAGGGGGACTCGGGAGGCCGAAGCGCAGTGGTGACAGTCCCCGGTCTCCCTCCGTTCGAGGACTACGAGTGCAAAATCTGCTACAACTACTTCGACGCGGACCGGCGCGCTCCCAAGCTTTTGGCGTGCCTGCACACCTTCTGCCAGGAGTGCCTGAGCCAGCTGCAGCTCCGCGCCGCTGCCGCCGCCGCCGCCGCCGCTACTGCGCCTGAGCGCCCAGCGCCCTGGCACAGCCCTCCCGGCGCCATCGCGTGTCCAGTGTGCCGCCACCGCACGCCGCTGCCCGACAGCCGCGTGCACGGCCTGCCCAACAACACCAAGCTCGCGGAGGCCTACCCGCTGGCCCTGCGCGCCGCGCACGACCCGCTGCCCCCGGACCGCCTCCCACCGTTGCCGGCTCGCCGCCCAGCGCCCTCTCCGGCCCCGCCGCCCGCGCCGGCCGCGGCGCCTCCGCCGCCGCCCGGGGAGGAAGCCGCCCGCGGGCCACGCGCCCGCGCCGCCCTGCGCGCCCCGGGCGCCTACGAGAGCTGCCACAACTGCAAGCGCGCAGCGCTCACCGCCGGCTGCGTGTGCGTCGTCTTCTCCTTCCTTTCCATGGTGGTGCTGCTCTTCACCGGCCTCATCTTCGTCAACCACTACGGCGGCGGCGGCGGCGGTGGGGCATCCCCCGGCGGCGGGGCGCCCCCTGGCGCGGCTACCGGGTCGCCCTCACCCGTGGGGCCCATCTGCCTGTCAGTGGCCAGCATTCTGGCACTCTTCTCGGTTGTCGTCACTTGGCTCATCTGCTGGCTCAAGTACCGACCCGAGGGCGCGGCCGCGGGCTCCGCTGGGGGCGGTGGCGGCGGCCGGAGGACGCGGGCGGCAGGTGGAGCGCGGAGGAGCGACACGTAGTCAGGGCACACGACCTGTCTCCAGCACGCGTGCACCCTCAGCCTTGCGGGACTCGAGAGGAGGGGGCCTCTGGCTCGGTGCACTCGAGTTTTTCCGCCCTCTCCCTTCGGCCCCCTGGCGCGCACCCCCTAGTCGTTCTGCCACAACGGGGCCTTGGTTTCCCGCCTCTCCGGCTTTCCACGCCCCGCCTCCTCCGCCCTGGGCTAGAGAGAGAAATCGAGGAGGCGGAGATGCTACTGGGGAGTCCATCTCCCCGACAGTACAGTATCAACCTCTGCTTCGCGCACCACCCTCATCGTCGCCAGAGTGCGCAGCCATCCCTCCCAGAGTCCGAGTATTTGCAAAGGGAGCTGGAGAGGGGAGTGGGACGCCAGCCGCTCCGCCTGAACTCTGGTTTTCTGCCTGCCGTGACTTTAGAGTTTAAGGGTGCAGGTACGCGCGCGCAGAGAGCTAGCTGCAGCAGTCGTGAATGCACTTGCATTGTCAGAAGCATGAATGAGATGTAAACGGGAGGAAAAGGTCTCCCTGCTTTCTGGCGGCCCGGGAAAGTGAGTAAGCTGAGCGCTGAGAGCCGTGTCCACTCGGCACTGGCTCCGCACTGGCTCCGCACCGGCGGGAACCGGGCCGCTGGGCGCAGCCTCGTCCAGTAACTGCGCGAGATCCGGCAGGTGCGCAGCGCCCGTGCGCTCTCCGGTTTGCGGGCTGTGGCAGCAGAGCAGAGGGGGCGGGGCGCACCAGGCGGTGGATCTTGCTACCCACCATCCCGCAGAGCCCCCAAAGTCCTGGAAACTGGGCTCCTGGGAACTTACGGTTGTTTAATTCACGGCACTACCACCAGGGAGTCATTTCCTCCTCTGTAACTGGACTCAGGGAGCTTCAAGAGCTTGTTCTCCCATCTTCTCTCAAAACTGACTTACTGTTGCCCCCGCCTGGAAGGTACTGAGAGCTATTCTCGAAGAATGGAAACTGCGGGTTTCCTCGCCTCTTTTCTTTATTTCATTTTTTACAATAATTTATTTAAGAATATGTAAATCTGGAAATTTTGTGCGTTAAAATTTCCAGAAAAGATGTTTGATAAGCAGTAACATTCCTTCCGTACCTCCAGTCCAAGTACATTTCGAAATTAGCAGAAATAAAAGCGTGTTGGTAACTAATTCAAGATTTTGTACTGTGAAACTACTAATGACTTTCAACTACTTGATAAAATATACAATAGTGCCCAAAGACTAAACTGACAAGTTTCCTTCCTTTGATTACAAATATATATATAATACTTATCAGAAAAATATTATTTTGAATTTAGCTATTTGATATTGGAAATCACTATGTTCGGATCCAGTCACATTAAATGAAAAAGAATACATATTCTGATTTTGTAACCAAAAAAAAAAAGAATTGCAATGTGTGTTATAGGTGGTTTTGATGCCTTTTTAGAGAAACCAAAAACTCCACCTGTTGCAAATGTATTTTATATGAAAACATTCTTTATTCCAACTTTTGAAATTTGGAATAAGACAACGTTTTCATACCTAAACATTGCAGAAGCTACTGAAAGTGTGCTGTTATTCCTCCTGTATTTACGCCAGCTGTCTGCATGATATCACGACACTATTCTAGTCTCTAAACTTGAATGAGCATTTGTGTCTGTCATAGAGAGCAGTCATTTACTGGCCATTGATAAGTGGTATGACTCCAATTCAGGAGTTGCAATATGATGTGTTTTAGGTCTGTGTTGTCTTAATTAAAAATGAGAAGCATTTATAGAAAAAAAAACCCCTATTTTCCTGAAATTTATTTCATGGGGAAATTGTTCCAAGTTATTTGTGGGGTCTTTATCTTCCTGAAGTACACTTTTCCATCCAAATCCTAATTTCACATTCTAAATGGGGCTGGTATCACACATGAGAATGTACAATGCTAGGGTGGGCATTTCATGGAATTGTTTCTAGTCTTTTTTTAAAGGACTTTACTTATTTATTTTTAGGCAGAGGGGGAGGGAGGGAGAGAGGGAGAGAAACATCAATGTGTGGTTGCCCTTGTGTGCTCCCAACTGGGGACCTGGCAGGAAACCCAAGCATGTGCCCTGACTGGGAATCGAACCAGTGACCCTTTGGTTCACAGGCCAGTTCTCAATCCACTGAGCCACACCAGCCAGGGCTGTTTCTAGTCTTTAACAGGACTCCTGAAGGCCCAGTGAAATCTGTTGTTTTCTGGAGGGAAAAGTGGTTGACCCATCCATCACTATAAGATTAACAAAAGGTATTGCTAGATTTTTTTCTCAGATTCTGTGAAATGTTTCCAGGTTCCTAACACCAAGAATTGCATTCCAGAGATTGGTTTTAATTTGTACTTCCAACAAGTAACTTGTATTACTTCTATATTTATTATAGTTTATTCTTTTTTTCACTTCCAGTGCTGAAATTCTGTTTGCATTCACAACTGTTTAGCTGCACGAGTGTATCTACACATGTGTGCGTGTGTGTGTATACACTAGCAACAGAACTTAGCTTTGTGGATATAACCATGTATACCTGTGTGTACACACATTTGCTATTTCATTTCATTAATTTGGCAACCTGGAAGTCTATTGAAACTTACTGTGGGACCAGCTTGCTTCTTATAGAGTTTATTTATATTCCACAGAGGAGGGTCCACCAATTTCATAAACTAAATTATTCCATATAAATGAGAAGGGCATTTTAAAATTGTCTCAGTCACAATGCAAGGCACATTCTGCTTCTTTCACAGGTTGCACATGTAAATTTCTTATAATGAAAAATATGACTTAGAATACTTTAAAATCAAACAGCTACAATTAATAGCCCAGCACCTAAACATAAAGAGGTTATTTTTCTTGGCCCACCTTGCTTTATTCATTTCTGACTTTTCAAGAATCAAGTGGCAAGATGGAGTGGTGGAAAACATTCATCTGATTTGTCTGGTGTCTACTGGTTTTCTGATAGTCTGGTGCCCCTGTATTCTGCAGGTGTGATTTAATTATTTCTGCCTACACCACCTGGGAAGTCCTGGCACACCAATACCTTAGACAAAGCAGGTGTTTAGGAAGTAATTGTTGAAGTGATCAGTGAGTTGTGTGAAGGGCTCCTGGTGGCAGTCCCCATGGAAATTCTCATCTTCTTGGAAGTGCTTGTTTCCATCCTGGACACATCGCTAGCCCGGGAGTGTGAACTATCAGTAAGGTCACTGCAGAAAGCCAGACCTGCTCAGTCTGCACACCTGCTCAAAAAACCATGGTCCCCATGGCCCAGGTTTTGGGGGCTGCAGATTAGAGTTGTCATCCTGCTTCTAGAGAGTCTAAATTTCAAGTGAAAAAACTCATCTTGCAGGTGATAAATTAAATCCTTGGCCTCTGAATGCAATATGATTTCAATGCAATATGAACAGTGTCCACAGCCAGAAAGAACATTGGGTGTAGGGTCTAAAGACTAGTAGTAACTGCATCTAGGAGATATGAGTCCAAATACTGGTTCTCTCCTTTCTTGGGAAGGCCTTGGCATGTAGTTTAGCCTCATTAAGCCTCAAGCTTCTCATCTACAAAATGGGAACAGGAACTATTAGTCCTGCTTGCCTTGGTGCAAGGATTTGTACACACACACAAGACAGTCTATTGGTGAAACTAAGGCTTTGCAAACTGAAGCTTTATGTGGGTCTATGGCCATGTTCTCATTCAGATCTCCAAGGGTCTGATATCACCTCCCCAGAGAGGTTTGCCCTGACCACTCTATCCCAAATGACTATCTATTAAAGTTTTATTTTCTTCCTAATAATGTATTACTGCCTGGAGTGTTCTTATTTGGTACATTCTTTATCTCAACCTCCTGCAACCAAAATGTAAAAAACAAGGAAGCACACTTGTCTGCTCACCCACTCTGTTCACAAAGCCTCAGCCAGTCCTCAGCACAGAGGAAGTGGCACATAAACATTCTGTTGAGCTGGCTGAATGGGACACTCTCCTCTGACTGCTAATCAGCTTGGCTGCCCTCACCCCACGCTGTCCCACAGTAAATCCTGAGACCCTGGCTGACTTAGTGGCTTTCCCCTACTTCATGGGGATTTGTAAAAGGTGAAGAAATATACCCCCAAAAGCCCTTTGAGTTTTGAGAAAAGTCAATGCTATCATGATGAAACTCTTACTGCATGATCCTAGTGACAGGTGCCACTGGGCACACTTAAGAACCTTTGGCCTCTGTTTCCCATCATTTTCTGCACTGTGAGATTTCAAGATATGACTCTTTTTGGCTTCCTGCCTCTACGGGCACGTCTGCACCATCCTCTCCAAAACTGACAGCACCTGCATAGTTAGAACAAGCTTGCGTTGCAGTGAAATTTCCCACAATACTGAGAACAAAGTTTGTTAAATTTCACATTAGTTGTTACTTTCCATATGGTTAATTCTTCCCCTTTGCCTTCTAAAATAAATTACCCTTCATAGACTTGCTAAATTTACAATGTCAATAACTGAGTAATCCCCCACTTATCCTATAATCCAGCTCATATCCTCTTTATTAAATCATTTGTTTCCCATTAGCTAATATCTGTATTTTAAATTTCTGCCATGATACAGAGATTATTAAATTTATGTCATGGGCAATGAACTGCCCCCTGCTAAGTGTGCACTTTCACTTCCTTTGAAATAATGTTTTTATTGTGTATGTTAGAGAGTAGAATTGATGTCTACTATTTACTACTGTAACTATTTCTTTTTTGTTTTTTAACTTTATTTATTTATTTTTAAAGAGAGGGGAAAAGAGGGAGAAAAATATCAATGTGTGGTTGCTTCTCATGCGCCCCTCACTGGGAAGCTGGCCTGCAACCCAGTCATGTGCCCTGACTGGGAATTGTACTGGCGACCCTTTGGTTTACAGGTCAGTTCTCAATCCACCAGCTAGGGCTATTTACTGCTGTAACTATTTCTGAAAAGAGTGTTAGAAGTGGCTGCAGCCAGATCTCAGTTTGAAATTATGTGAATGAAGAAAATGTGAGAGATTTTTAAAATCTATCTTTTTCTTGATTTTCTCTGATTGCCCTTATTAAAAAGCTTTGTGATATACATCATCAGCATTTTTTCTACCCACCAAAACCTTAAGGCTCTTGTTCTCTTATGCAAAACTAAAATATGCCAAAGAGAAGCAAGTTTGTTTCTGTGACAAATTTACAATCACTCCTGATGGTAAGATGCATTTTTGGCAGGTAAAAGCAATTCAATGTCCAACTTCCAAGAATATTCCTAGGAGCTCAGGAAGAATGTGCACACTTCCTTTAGAAAAAAAAACTGCACGTAAAATTGGGTTATCTTTGGTTTAGAAATACCTCATCTCCATGGGATGGAAGAGGGAGAGTGTTGCAGTGGTAAAAAAAGGGGGTAAAGAAAATATACAACAAAGTTCTAGCTCCTACTATTACAAACCCACATTGAAAGATGAACAGAAGAGAAAGTGACTATTCAACACAAAGACAGAACACTTTTATTTCAACAGAGAATATTTCAAGAACCACGGTAATATATGGTGGCTCAGCTATCTCCTACCACCATGAAATGTGTCATTTCTATATGTTCATCATATATTACTTACGAGTATATTCTACTCTGTGCGCATTTAAAGCTATTGTGTAGTCAAATTTGACAGGCGGGGAGCAGTTGGCCCTGACTTCGGTTTTGGGGAAGGATGAATTCCAATAAGAAGTAGACAGTTACTGCTCGGGAAGAAAATCTGGGACCCAGCTCCGCAAGGCCAACGATTTGTCCCCAGAGCCCATTTCTTACTAAATGCAGATGCAGCAAACTCACTTCCTGATGCGAGCCTTAGCGGAGGTTCTCGGTGGCTGGCCGCAGGTTAGAATAACCTGGAGAGTTTTATTAACAAACAAACAAACAAACAAACAGCAAAAAGGCGGCCCTGACCGGTGTGGCTCAGTTGGCTGGGCGCCCTCCAGCAAAGAGAAAGGTCACCGGCTCCATTCCGGTCAGGGAGCGCGCGGGCCGCCACCGATGGAGGCGACCTGTCGAGGCAACTGATCGAACTTTCTCTCACGCATAGATGTTCCCCTTCCTCTCTTTCTTCCTCCCTCCCCCCCCGCCAAGAATAAATACATAAAATATTTAAAAAATGCGGAAGCCCCCAGAGACACGTCTTTAATTGGTCTGTGCTGGGAACTGGAAGGGGAGGCGCTTCGGTAGGTTTAAAAAGCGCCCCAGGTGAGTCTGCTGTGCAGAAAGATCGGAGAGCCGTCACGTTTCAGGGAGCATTGATTGAAAGGGCGACCCCCCCCCCCCATCTCGCTTGAGTGGGCCGAGCACCGCCGGGTTTCCAGCAAACGGGGAGAGCGGGGACCCGTGCTCGGATGTGGGAAGTGGCCGTAATTTGGATAGCTCTTGAATCACCGTTCCGGCCTTGACGCATTGTCTCTGTCTGACTCTCTCTTCTCTCCTCCCTCCCCACTCTCCTGTGGACTCCGTGTTCCCAGGAAAGTTCAGGAAATATTTGCATCTGCATCTCGAGGGCTGCTTCCTCTCCGAACGCGGGCGGGGTGACCGTTGTGCCTCTGCGATTCACAGGCTTTTTGGGGGGGAGCTCCCCTCGCCCCCCGAAAAATACGCAGTGTTTTCCAAAGTCCCATGAGTCACCAAAATCCAGCGACAATGTGGGGATTTGAGGGCGGATTATGCGGATAACCAGGAAAGTCTCAAGGTTAAATTAACAAACCCTCGCCAGCGACAGCTGTGGGTGTCATCGCCAGGGACAGCTGACGGGGAATCTGTCCGTCGCCGACAGGTGCGGACGAGCAAGCAGATCCAGCTCGCAGAGAGCCATGTCTTAAAATATTCCCCAGGAGAGTTGTTCTTTCCCCGAACCCTTCGGACTAGCCGTTCAGCGTGCAAATTGACGCCCCGCTCTCGACACAGGTGCATTCGCATCAGACCCAGCCGGCCACGGTCGATGGAGGAGGGGAGACTTACC